TTTTTTTGGAGAGGTTTTTGCCATAGGGCATGTGCACTTGCCAGACAGACAGAGAGAAATATAGAGACAGAAAGTGAGAAATTACCCCCCAGGGGTGATGGCCACACTGCAACCCCTTCTCCTTCATTCTCCTCTCGGGATCTTGGGCACACACGCACACATGCCCAGCGTGAGTTTTAAGTGACCGGGACTGGGACTCAGACTGCGGTCGATAACATGGGAGTCCAGCAATATAGCCATTACGCTAACTGCTGGCCCCACTAACACTCCATTCTATAGCTACCAAAAGAACCTCCTTGAATTAGTGGTAGGTAGAGAGGGAACTAGTAGATTTGGTATTTCCAAAAATTCTAAAAGTGAGCACTGGGTATCTATTACTATAACCATTTGTAGTTTCCAGCTGGTCTAACCACAGGAAATAAAACATTTTCAAATTCCCAACCCTTTGGTACTTAACTTCTTTGTTAGATGTCCAAATGGTGCCAATAGAGGACCAATGATTTGTTCATAAAGAAAATTAATAAAATATGTAAGTAAAATGTGGGGGTTATTCCTAAGAGGGAGTGCCTTAGAGAAAATAGAAAGTGGAAGGAGGGAAAACAGGAGAGGGACAAACTCAGTAAATTTTAAAAGTTAAAAGTGGGATAGTGGTTAAAGTAGTTGAATCCCATGGAACTAAATGAGATTTCAAGTCCTGGACCCAGTGGCTTCAAAAACACATTGGGCACGTGTGTGCATGCTCAAAATCCCAACAGGAGAAATAGAGGAGAGGGGATTGCAGTGTGATCATCCTCCAGAATGAGAACACTTTCTCTCTTTCCCCCCCACCCTCAATGAGTTTACACATTCTCTACCAAAAAAAGTTAATAGTAAACTAGAGTGAAAAGTGGGTGGTAAGCTGGTTTTTATTATACTAGCTTTGCTAGATACCCCAAGAAGAGGTTTTGGCCTTCAGATCGAGTGTTACTTTTTCCTGCACTGCTAAAAAAGAAGACTCAAGAGGAAAAGTCAGGTATCTTATCTTATAGATCGAGTGTTACTTTTTCCTGCACTGCTAATAAAGAAGATTCAAGAGGAAAAGTCAGGTACCTTATCTTACCTGGGCTATTCTTTCTAGGCTGGAAATAAGATAAAAGTGCAACTCTTGCACTAGAAATAAATCAGGTTATTTATTCCAGTGTTTGGAATTTAGTGACAAGAGGACATATTCTTTGTGCTCTTTTCATAATCTCAGCTGTGGAGTTGCCGAGCACGCTTGGATAAATATGTCTCTTCAGTTGGATTTCATTTAGAGAAAATATCAATAGGGACTTACTATTATTAGGATATTGTGCATGAATTTATATTTCAGAAGAAAATGGAAGGCTTTTGGAAATCATTTGTTCACATTTCTTGAATCTATCTCCATCCCATCCATAATTCTCCTTCCTTTAAAGTGTTATTTCTTAGAATATTATAGAAAAACCCTTTTAGTCTGGGAAGCTGAATTGTGGCCCTATATGCATTTTTTTGAAGGATAACTTTCTTTAAAACTAATGACATGTTAGAATTACATTCTGTGAAATACTGATATTTCTTTTTTTTTTTAAACTTTTTTTTGAGAGGTTTTTGCTATAGGGCGTGTGCGCTCATCAGACAGACAGAGACAGAGAGATAGAGAGCGAGAAATCACCCCCCAGAGGGGATGGCCACGCTGCAATCCCTTCTCCTCTGTTCTCCTCTCGGGATCTTGGGCACACACGCACACACGCACACACGCCCAGCGCGAGTTTAAGCCACCTGGTCCGGGACTCGAACCGTGGTCGATGACATGGGAGTCCAGCGACATAGCCATTACGCTAACTGCTGGTCCCAATACTGATATTTCTTGAAACCTTGATAACAACTTATACCTGTTTATATTTATGCAATCTCAGGAATGCTTTCCAGTAGTGAAATGTAATAAATCATCTTTATGATATATATATATAAAAGAAGTGATTTTCTAGCCAAAAAGTATTATATTTCACTTTTTACAATAGTCAAGAAGTTGAATATTTACAGTCACATCTGGTAGTTGTTTATAATAAATCATCTTTATGATATATATATATATATTTGTTTCATATGAAACAAATATATATATATATGAAACAAATATAGGCCTAGCCCTATAACACAGTGGTTAAGCACTGCATAGAGGGAGCCAGATTTCTACACGGCTGATTGACTTACTGCATTTTGAATCGCTGCCCCAGCAGCTTTGAAAACACTCTGGGTGTGTGTATGTGCACTTATGCCCAGGATCCTGATGGGAGAATGGAGGAAATGTAATTGCAGCATGACATGCCCCCATTGGGGGAGTGCTTTTCTCTTTCTGGCATATAATGATGATATGCCCTCTGGCATTAAGAACAACAACAACAAAAGCAAGGTAAACTAAAGTTACTGACTTTCCAATGATTTTCTTTCTGTTGGGTTCACTGATTGGTGCATGTTTTAAATCAATAGAAGTTTAATGAATAATGTATGGAAAGAACACTGCTTATTTAGAGCAGAAACTGGGACTCTGCCAGGGACTATCACATGCAGATGATTGATAAATTCTTGTTGAACTACTAACCAGTTTAAGAGGTGGGAATATGAATTCCATTTCTGACTTTGCTGTGTATCTCTGTGTGACTGTAAATATTCAACTTCTTGACTATTGTAAAAAGTGAAATATAATACTTTTTGGCTAGAAAATCACTTGTTTTTAAGCTTCTCAGGAAGCAGAAGTAATATTCATACATTGTTGAATTCTCATTCTCAGCACTTCTCTCTGTGGGCTTATTTTCATCGGTATATATCTATATATATATACACATATATATATATAATTTGTCTGACTCTTCTCTCCCTCTTTCTCTCCTTCCCTCCCTCCCCACATATGCACACATTCATGAAAAACCAAATATACAAAGTTAGCAGAGGCTGCCATTGCCTTGTCCATATACACCTCCCCTGACTGACAGCATCCAGAATTGGGATTTGATTAGTCTGCTTGATAGTTTTTTTGGGCCTGTAAGGTTAGCTTTGCCCTTCATCATGGCAGGCCAGAAGTGGTGGAAAATTAATGTACACCATCCCTCCCACCATGTCACCCACCACCATCACCATCAGAAGCAATCAGTCAACACTTTATTGTCTACTTTTCACTTATTAATGTTTCCTAGAAACCACTCTGCCACATCCTCAAAAATAAATGAAAAACTATTTGCTCTTGAATTCTTCTCTTAGAGTCACCCTTTGGAGGAACCCAAAATTGGACACAAAGCAAACTCTTCCTTTGTCCTTTCTTCAGCTATCATTTTATTTTCCTCTTGATTCTTGAACAATTAATCTGTAATACTCATACTTTGACCATACTCTTAACAGATTCTGCCTTTATATCATGTTCTATCTTTAAAAATGATAAGGATTGGGACCAGCAGTTAGCGTATTGGCTATGTCGCTGGACTCCCATGTAGTCGACCACAGTTCAAGTCCCGGACTCAGCGGCTTAAACTCATGCTGGGCACGTGTGCATGCGTGGCCAAGATCCCGAGAGGAGAATGGAGTAGAACGGATTGCAGCGTGACCATCCCCCTTGGGGGGGATTTCTCACTTTCTGTCTTTCTGTCTCTCTCTCTCTTTCTGGTGAGTGCACATGCCCTATAGCAAAAACCTCTCCTCCCAAAAAATGTATAAGGATTAACATTTGGCATATCCAGTGATAGTTCAGAATGTAACTTAAAAATCCCTATCTATGATGAATAATGTTTCCTTCTGTGTCCTTGACCCCATTAACACATATTATTGACTTTAATCTTACACAAATATAGCCGTCTCTGAAAGGTTGTTGTATAGCCATCTCTGAAATATCTTTGCATCTGATGAAGTTTTGGAGTTTGAAGTCTCCAAGGCAGGCAATTGAACAGGTAAGATGGTTGTATAGAAACAGGACAGGACTCCATAAAACACAAGCTTGGCTTTGTTACTGCCTCTGACCTTAACCGCGTGCGTTCACAGGAGAGGCGGGTCCCCTTCCTCACAGAACAAGATTAGCAAGAATTTTTGATATATTTAGTTTCAATATCATTCCATTAAAATTATTTTTCTATTTCCTTTGAGATTTCTTTTTGGATCCATGGATTATTAAGGTAGTCATTTCATTTTATTTCATTTCATCCTTTCATTCACTTATAGAGTTTTTTGCTATAGGGCTTATCTCTCTCACCAGAAAGACAGAGAAAGGCAGAGAGGCAGAAAGCGAGAAATCACCCCACAGAGGGCTTGGCCATGCCACAATCCCTTCTCCTCCATTCTCCCCTTGGGATCTTGAGCACGCACACACACACGCCCGATGTGAGTTTAAGCCACTGGGTCTGAGACTTGAACCACAGTCAACTACATGGGAGTCCAGCAACATAGCCATTACGCCAACTGCTGTTCCCTAAGGTAGTCATTTCAAATGCTTGGTAGCCCCAGTGGTTTGTGTGTACTTTGCTAGACAAATTGGTTCCTACTTTCCGCTTCCTGCATTCTGAGCTATTACGTCAACTTCCTGCATGCTAAGCAGAAGTCAGTACTCTGGTTTCTTTAGAAAGTATGTGTATTCTGCAGTTTGGGGGTGTAGTGTTTTATGAACGTCAGTTATATCAACTTGGTTAAGATTGTTTAAATCTTTCCTACCTTACAGATCTTTTAAAGTACTGGATTTGTCAGTAACTAACTGAAGTGTTAAAATCTTCAACTATGATTGCAGATTTTTAAAAAAGTTCTTTCAGTTTTGCTTCATATATTTTAAAATTGTTATTTCAGAATGTATTTACATTTAGGATTATTCTTTTTGATGAGCTGATTTCTTATCAGGAAATGATCCTCCCTATCTCTGGTAATACTCTGTCTTGACATCTAAGTTGATGAATATAAATATATCTTATATGATTATATAACTACAAACTTCTGAATAGATAATATATAAAAACATATTGTATCATCTAGATTTGTAAATATAGCCCCACTAACTTTGTTATTCTGTATTTGCATTGCATGTATTTTTCTTCTCTTTTAATTTGTCTTTTTTATTACTCATTTAATTTTTATTTTATTTATTTAATTATGAAAACGAGATTTTTTTTTTTTGACAAGGTCTTTCCACATCAAGATCCTTATGCCCCAGCCTCCCAGTTGGCTATAATTACAGGTGTTCGCCACCAACCGTAGCCTGTCTAGGTTGGTTTCCGTCTCCAAGTAGCAGTATCTTAGCAGTGTACCACCATGGCTGAGCCTGTCTTTATCTTGTCAGTGTGTTTCTGAAAAACAGCAACTTGCTTTTTCAACTAGTGTGATAATCTGCATTATCTAATTAGAGTGTTTAATCCTTTTGTATTGGTGCAGTTATCGAAATGCTGGAGTTTAAATCTGTCTTGGTCTTATTTTTACTTTATCTCTTTCATTATTTTCTCCTCCTTGTTTCTATTCTGTTGTGGCATATAGCATTTCCTAAAGATGGCTTTACACATACATGCCCAAATATACATATTTCATTCCATTGGGTTTTGTTGTTGTTGTTGTTCTCTTTTACAGTATGATAATCCTCCCAATAGGAGTCTATATTCTCTTCACTTGAATTTTGATGGGAGCTAGTGACTGCTCCAGCCAATATAAAATGGCAGATTGTGCTATGTGACTTTCAAGGCTAGAACAGAAAAAGGATATGGCTTCTACTTAGCACTGTTTTGGGGTACTTGCCTTTCCAACCCATCCACTAGCTCATACCAGGCCCTGCAGAAAGATCACCATGAGGCATACATATAGGAGACATGTTGCTCCCAGATGTCTACATGCAAATAGTACTGTATTACTTAAAAGACAGTAAGATAATCTCTAATAATTTAATTCAATTTAGCATACTCCCAACTTTTTGCCATTTTATTTTATTTCTATGTATGCTACAACTTCATAATACATTCTTGTTATTTTTAAAATTTTAAACAGTTAATAGTCTATCATTCACATTTAAGTATATACACTTTAAATTTTTATTTTCTTATGTTAAGCTTATTTCTCTCTACCATGAGTGAGAGAGACTGAGAGACAGTAACTCCAGTAGGATCTTGACACCATGAAACACCCCAGCTTCAGCGAGCCCCAGATCATGGGTATGTGTGTGCCCAGTGTACTCAGGGAGCTGTCCGGATATGAACACATAACCTACCCACATATGTATCCAGCCTTGTGGAACACCACGTTTTATCACTGCATCACTGTCCAGCACCTAAAAATAACTTTTACATTTACCCAGATAATTACCATTTTTTTTCAATTCTTCATCTTTTTCCAAACAGATTCTTAATCTCCCCAGAGATTTTATTCTGATTCTTTGAGAAGATCACTCTATTTTAAATGCTTTGTTGGAAGTAAAAGTCTTGGGTAGAGTCAATTGCTCCATGTATAAAGATATTTAATAAATTTCCCTGTTTTCAAACCCACATCTTACTCCTATCCCCCATTTTATCTGATTTCCACGAGTTCTATGTGGTAAACTGTGATAACTTTCCTTGATTTATCAATGCCATTTAGGTGTATTTTAGCTACTGCTTCCTCAACCTTGGTTTATTATTATTACAGAGATTATCAACTTGCTCTGTCTTCTAGAAATTTGTTGAAAGTTTGCAAGTGTCTTGCACTAGAAGAGTCTATCAGAATGTTTGTGAAATAGCTGAAGAGTTAGAACTGAATCCTGAAGCAGTCTGACTCCTGGTCTAATTTGCCTTTCATTGCCCATATTACTATTTATTTTATTCCTCTGTATTTCTTTCTATTATGAGGTTTTGCTGAAGATATTCCTGAAGACTCATCCAGGGTACAGCAGTGCAAAAATGATCCAGCTGACAGCTACCCCTTTAAGTGCACTCATTGATGAACCAGTGTACATCCGAGCTACAGGCCTGACTCCCTTTCAGGAAGTGACTTTTCAGGCAACACTGAAAGATGAAATGGGGGTCCTCTTTTATTCTGAAGCCCACTATATGGCCAATGAAGTTGGTGAAGTGGACCTAGAACATGATTCTGCACTTGGGGGTGACTATGTGGGAGTCCATCCCATGGGGCTCTTCTGGTCCCTGAAACCTACTAAGATATTAACTAGACTGCTGAAAAGAGATGTAATGAATAGCCCTTTTCAGGTTCAATTAAAACTTTATGACTTGTTATCACTAAAGGATAACTCCCCCAAGTCTCCAAAAGCCAGCCTGACTTTGGAAAGGTGGTATGTGGCACCAGGCGTCACACGAATCCAGGTCCGAGAAGGCCGTATTCGTGGAGTCCTCTTTCTCCCCCCTGGTGAGTAAGTCACTCTGATTATTGTCATCCTTGTTTCCACTTTTTTTGAATGCCTTATCCCTTTAGAAATTTAACTTCAATGTGACTAATACATTCCTTTCCAGCCTTAGACTCAGAATTAAATTTGGGTCAGAAAAAGAATGTGGTAATAAACTCCATTCTAACTCGTTTCATCTCTACAATTCTGGAGTTTGTCTGAGGGTACAATTGCATATATCTTATGGACTTCCTTCTATCTTAGAGTGATGTGCTGTTTCAGAATGTATTATCTGTGAACCCTCAACATCGCATGTGCTGGGTCCCTTCTTCAGGTACTTGTCTGTGCAGGTACAAAAGAGGATTGAGTCATGTGGGGACATAAAGAGGTTGCCTTAGGTGTCTGAACATTGCTCAACTGCAACATTCCTCCCAGATAGGTGGCTTAGTACTCCTAAATCTTCTCCCAAGTAATGTCAATTACTTGGACCAAAGCAACTTTATTAATTTACTCAAACGGTATTTTGAAACCAAGATATATTCAGTATTATTTGATTTCTTTTTTTCTCAAGGTAATTATAGCATTATTTAAAAGTTGCTGGTATTTATTTAAATCAAGCCATTTATTTCAAATATGGATGGGATAGGAAAACATGGATGGGATAGTGGAGAAAAGATAATAAATATGATAACACAAAGAAGAAATGCATCACAAATTTTGCAATTAATTTATACACTTTCCTTAGTTAAAGTCACTTAATGTGAGAACAGCAAACCCCAAGAAGTGCATCATAAATTTCTTTCAGTGAGTGAGCTCCACTTTATTTTGGAAACTGTCTGCCTACACAGAGAGTGAATATGAAATGATATTCTGACAGTTCCTACTTTTTACTATGTATTGACTGCAGGGAATGAATGGAGTGTTACTGGATGAAAGAGCTCATCATTTACATCTGCTTAGGTGTGAGTTTTTACCACTTTAGTGATCCCAGTGTAATAGAATAGAATTAAATCAGAATTTTAGCCAACATAATCATTTCAAAAAACTTTTTTTTTTTTTTTTTTGGGGGGGTTTTTCTTATAGGGCGCCCCAGAAAGACTATAGGGCGCATGCGCTCGCCAGAAAGACAGAGAGAGACAGAGAGATAGAAAGCGAGAAATCACCCCCCCGGGGGGGGGGATGGTCATGCTGCAATCCCTTCTCCTCCATTCTTCTCCTGGGATCTTGAGCACGCACGCACACGCGCCTGGTGTGAGTTTAAGCTGCCGGGTCCGGGACTTGAACTGCGGTCGACTACATGGGAGTCCAGTGACATAGCCATTACACTAACTGCTGGTCCCTCAAAAAACTTTTTTGAACTGTACACTTCTTTGAAAACCCAGTTAAATCTGAGGAACTTCTCATTCTTAAAATGTACATATAAGCACATATACCATAATTTTGCATATTATTTCAGGCCCTTCATAGGTTTCCTCAAGCCTGTTTGTTACCTCTTTATAGGCTAGATAGCCTTGGACTAATTTCTATGACTGTATTTACTCTACAACTGCAGAAATAAAACATTATTCTCCTTGTATGCGTGAATTAAACATTTCAGTGACCATGATTCTCAATAAAACTTTTAGATACTATGTTCCATTATATATTCAATAGACCTTAATTCTTCCCAATCGTATGACTGAAAATTAGGGGATCCTATTTGAAAATATATAAATTAATTGCAAATTTTGTGATGCATTTCTTCTTTGCGTTATCATATTTTTATTGTCTTCCTTGCCTTCTCTTCATGTACATTCTGTTTTGTTTTCATCGTTGTGGTGGTTTTATTTCAGGAGAGGGCCGCTTCCCAGGGGTAATTGATATGTTTGGTGGTATTGGTGGATTGTTTGAATTCCGGGCCAGTCTCCTGGCAAGTCGTGGCTTTGTGTCTTTGGCCTTGGCTTACTGTGGATATGAAGACTTGCCATCCCTACCAGAGAAAATAGATTTGGAATATTTTGAGGAAGCTGCCAACTATCTCCTGAGACATCCTAAGGTAATTTTTGACTTTCTGGTAGTTTTAGTTCCTTTTTATTTTATTATTTATTTGTTTATTAATACATATTTTTAAATATTTTATTTAAGTATATTTATTTATTTATTATTGTTAATTTAATTTGACCATGAGAGAGAGAAGGTGAGAAAGCAAGCTGCCAGTCCAGGACTCGAACTGTGGTTGGCCCCGTGGCAAAGT